AACGGAGGGTGCTGATGTGTGTTCTGAAGTTAACTTGGAGTTTGGATTAGGTAGGGAAGGAAGTGAAAACATGGAGGCCAATAGAGAGGGATTTGAGGATTTGAAGGTCAAAGAAGTAGTTTAGGTGAGATTGGGTAAAGAGAAATATGGAAGGCTTACAATTAGAGAGGAATGTGTTCGTTGAGGTATGATACTCCAAGGCTGCCATGTAGTCAAAGGAATGAATGGCTGAAGGAGAAGGTAAGTCTTTGGAGAAGAGAAGGCTGGAGGACAAGAGACCTGGATTATAGACCAAAGAATGTGGATATTACTGTTTTAGTGAAGTTTTTTCTATTTTCAATATTATTTCATTAATTTGGCTATTGCTGTCTAAATAGTCTCTTTTAATTGTGTCGGATAATTTAGCCCTTTTTATCCTACATAAATTTACAAAATGTAATACATCTCTCATCCTATATAAATTATTTGTATTTAATATTTTACTCAATAAAATATTTTTAGGCTTTTTGACTGTTAATTTTTAGTTTCTTAGGTTGAACAATTTTAGCGTAATCATGACTAATTCAGTTAAGTTGAATTTTAAGATACATGGATGTGTTTTACTGCCTTTGCAATTTGATCTCTAAAACGATGTAAAATTAGGCAAGGCAGTTTTTTTAAGGAAGAGAAAGTAGAATACAGCAAACATTCACTGAACTTTTTAAAAACCTTTTTATCTTTAGAATAGTTTTACGGAAAAATCGGAAGGATGATACAGAGGGTCCTCGTGTACCCCACACCTGGCTTCCCCTATTGTTAGCATTGTAGATCAGTATGGTGCAGTTGTTTCAATTAGCAAACCAGTGTTGATATCTTATTGCCAACTAAAGTCCATACTTTATGTGGATTTCCTTAGTTTTTTCCCAGGTCCCCTTTTTCTGTCCCAGGTTCCCTTCCAGAATGCCACACTACATTTAGTTTCATGTCTGCTTAGGCTACTGTTGGCTGTGATCGTTTCTCAGATGTCCCTTGTCTTTGGTGACCTTGATGGTTTTGAGGAGTACTGATCAGGTGTTTTGTAGACTGTCCCTCAATTTGGGTGTGTCTGATGTTTTTCTCGCGATTACACTAGGGTTATGGGGTTTGAAGAGGAAGACCACCAAGGGACAGTACCATTCTCATCATACATATTAGGACTGCTTGCTGTGAACGTGACTTATGATTGTTGATGTTAAGTGTGTTTACCTGACTGAGGTAGTATTTGTCAGATTTACACCTGCCCTTCCCCTTCCCCTTCTATATGGTACTCTTTGGGAGGAAGTCACTGTGTATATTAGTTTGCTGGGAGCTGCCATAAAAAATGTCACAGTCTGGGTGGCTTAAATAAATGTATTTTTGCACAGGGCTGGAAGCTGGAAGTCCAAGATCAAGGTGCTAGCAGGGCTCCTGGTGAGGCACCTCTCCTCTTGCAGAAGGCAACTTCTCTCTGTGTCTTCACATGGCCTCTTCTGTGTGTGCATGGAGAGAAACAGGGAGAACTTTGGTTTCTCATTCCCTTCTTTTAAGGGCACTGGTCCTATTGGATTAGGGCTTGACCTTTGTGACTTTATTTAACCTTAATTGCCTTCTTAAAGGACCTATCTCCAAATACAGTCACTTTGTGGCCTTAGGGCTTCAACATAAGAATTTAGGGGGAAGCAGTTCAACACACTACAGTATACATAGCCCACACTTGAGGAGTAGGGGTTTATGCTTTACCTTGCTGAAGGTATGTTTTCTACTTAAATTATTAGCAGTTATTCTGAACAGATTTGTTTCCTCTCTCCCATTCATTCATTCATTCCTGTCAATATTGACTTCTGGATATTTATTTTATGCTTTAGGTTATAATCTGATACAACATTATCTGTTTTCTTGTTCAAATTGTGAGTTTTGGACCTAGAGAGCTCATTCAGTTGGTTTCTGTGTTCCTTTGACATAAAGAAATGTAATTTTGTTTTTTGAATACTTTCTGAATCTCTGGCCTTAAATGATACTCCAACAGGTTCATATTGTATATTGTGTATTCTCTGTTCCCAGCCCTAAAATCAGCCATTTCTCAAGGAGCCCTAGTTTCTTTTATTGGAGAATGGTATTAGAAGCCAACATGTGGACGCTGTGTCTGCTCATTGTTACTGAGGCATCATTGTTTCTATGGCCTCCTAGCTGACAGAACTTGAAAATATGTTAACCTGTGTGTATACATGTATCCATAATTATTTCTGTATGTATGCATCTATAGCTATATCAAGCTAAAATGAGTCTACTGTTTCCAAATCTAATCCAGTATCTCATGGAAATATTCTAGGCTCTTCTGCTTGCTTATCTGAAACTTTTTACTCCAACAATGAGAAATCTGGTTCCCACTATTTTTCATCAAATTTATTTATTTTTTCGTCCTGATACATATGTATAATGGTTTCAGAATTAATTGTTTTTGCCATGAGCTAGAGTGCATGCCTGTATACAGTTTCTTTTGCCTTTGTCTTACAGTTCCATTCATCTTCGAAGTCACTTAGGTCAGCACCTCTTTTTACCTTACTTCTTTCAGGGATGTTATGTCATGCATTTGTAATAGTTAACAATCTATTGTCACAGTCTGCATTGCATCCTGGCATCCCCCAACCTCCTAATTGAATTTTTTTAAAGTTTTGTTTATATCAGGTTCACTTTTTGTGTACGTGTGTGGGTTTTGATAAGTGCATAATGTCATGTGTCCACCACTATAATATTAGGCAGAATAGTTTCACCACCCTAAAATATCCCGACTCAGCCCTCTCCCACTTTCTGAAACTCTGGCAACCACTGCTCTGTTTCCTGTCTTGATACTTTTGCTTTTTCTAGAATGTCTGTAAATGGAATCTACAGTATATGGGATTTTCAGACCAGTTTCATTTACTTATCACTTTAGATTCATCCTTGCCATTACATGAATTCATAGTTTATTTTTATTGCTAAATAGTATTCCATGGTATGGATGTACTACAATGTTTATCCATCTTCATGGCTTGTAGTTATTGGTAGCTAGGAATAAAGCTGGTATAAACATTTGTGCAGCTTTCGTGCAGACATAAATTTTTTTAATCAGTTGGAAAAATACCTAGGAATGTGATTGCTGGTTTGTGTACTATGAATATGTTTAGTTTTATGCCACTAAAATGCCTTCTAAAGTGGTTGTACCATTTTGCATTCCTGCCAGCAATGAATGAGTGTTCTTCTTGTTCCATATCCTTACCAGCAATTCTTATTGTCTGTTTTTTGGGATTTTAACTATTTTAATAGGTGCGTAGTAATATCCCATCGCTAAAATTTGTACGTTCTTTCTTTTTTTTTCTTTTTGAGATGGACTCTAGCTCTTGTTTCCCAGGCTGGAATGCAATGGCACAATTTCATCTCACTGCAACCTCTGCCTCTCAGGTTGAAGAGATTCTCCTGCCTCAGCCTCCCAAGTAGCTGGAATTACAGGCATGGGCTACCACGCCCAGCTAATTTTTGTATTTGTAGTAGAGATGGGGTTTCGCCGTCTTAGCCAGGCTGGTTTCTTTTCTTTTCTCTCTCTCTCTTTTTTTTTTTTTGAGACGGAATCTCACTCTGTCTCCCAGACTGGAGTGCAGTGGCATGATCTCAGCTCACTGCAACCTCCACCTCCTGGGTTCAAACAATTCTCTGCCTCAGCCTCCTGAGTAGCTGGGATTACAGGAACCTACTACCACACCTGGGTAATATTTGTAATTTTAGTACAGACGGGGTTTCACCATTTTGGCCAGGCTGGTCTTGAACTCCTGACCTCATGATCCACCTGCCTTAGCCTCCCAATGTGCTGGGATTACAGGCATGAGCCACTGAAATTTACACTTTTTTTTTTTTTTTTTTTTTTTTTGAGACAGAGTTTTGCTCTTGTTGCCCATGCTGGAGTGCAGTGGCACGATCTCAGTTCACTGCAGCCTCTGCCTCCTGGGTTCAAGCGATTCCCCTGCCTCAGTCTCCTTAGTAGCTGGGATTACAGGTGCCCACCACCATGCCTGGCTAATTTTTGTATTTGTAGCAGAGATGGGATTTCACCATGTTGGCCAGACTGGCCTCTAACTCCTGACCTTGTGATCTGCCTGCCTCAGCCTCCCAAAGTGCTGGGATTACAGGTGTGAGCCACTGCGCCCAGACTACACTTTCTTAATGACAGTATCGAACATCTTTCTGTATGCTTATTTTTCATCTGTATATGTTTTCTGTTGAGGTGTTATGCTCTTTTACCAGTGTTTTAATTGGGTTGTTTTCTTATTGTGGATTTTTAAGAATTCTTTGTGTACTTAGCATACATGTACTTTATTATATATACTTTAAATATTTTTTTCCCAATGTGTGGTTGTCTTTTCTTTAACCGTGTCTTTCACAGAGCAAGTTTTAATTTAAATGAAGTCCAGCTTACCAACTTTTTCTTCCATGAATAATGCTTTTGGTGTTTTATCTAAAATACCACCACCAAATGCAAGATCATGCAGATTTTTTTTCCTGTTTTCTTCTGGAAGTTTTATAGCTTCGCATTTTACATTTAGGTCTATGATCCATTTTGAGTTAATTTTTGTGTAAGGTGTGAGATCTTTGCTTAACTTTATTTTTCTGCATGTGGATATACAATTTTGCACAGCTTGTTGAAAAGACTTTCTTTCTCCACTGAATTATTATATATACTTTTGTCAAAAATCACTTGAGTATACTTGTGTGGGTCTATTTCTGAGCTCTTTTCTCTTCCATTGGTTTATTGATTCTTTCGCCAACACCATGCTGACTTGATTACTGTCGCTTTATAGTAAGTCTTGGAAATAGGTAGTGTGAGTCCTCCAACTTTGTTCTTTTTCAGTATTGTATGTGCTATTCTAGGCCCTTTGCTCCTCTACTGAATTTTATAAATTAAAAACTAAAATAAAAATGGTTAATCCTCAGAGATGCAGTATAAATATGATGTTCTTTAATTCATTTTTCAGGTGGTTCTTTGAAGCTCTGAAGTATCCCAAGTTTTCCAAAGCTAATGTTATCAATGGAATACTCATGACAGTAGTGTTCTTCATCGTGCGGATTGCGTCAATGCCTCCTCTTTACAGCCTCATGTATTCTGTGTATGGAACGGAACCCTACATAAGGCTTGGACTTTTAATCCAGTGTTCCTGGATCATTAGTTGTGTTGTTTTGGATGTGATGAATGTCATGTGGATGATCAAAATTTCAAAAGGTTGCATCAAAGTCATCTCTCTCATCAGACAAGAGAAGGCCAAAAATAGTCTTCAGAATGGAAAACTTGATTAAAGGAGTGCTACTGATAAGTAAACTTTGTTACTACCCAGCATTATTACTGCTGATGGGATGAATTCTTGGCATGTTCTTGTGTATCTTTATTAATTATAATTGTTATTCAGGATTTCAGTGTCATTTTTTTAACTTTTAGAAAAGAGAAACTGAAATTTACTTTTCATCCCAAGATGTCTTTTCTGCCTTTCTTTTGCTTAATTTATAAGCATGGGTAAAAATCCTAAAGGCTTAAATAAAAATGATAAATATTGTGGTGAATCTTTTGAGAAACCTCTTAACCTGCATTGGTATTTTTCTCTGTGAAAGATGACTATGATAATCTGGTACAGTTGGTTTTATGTCACCAATTTTGCTGAAAGAATGGGAACTGCTTTTAAATCTGTAAATAGCTCTTAACATTTGTTGTATGCACTCTTTTCTTACTTTGGCTGCCAACACCTGTGTGGGGTTTAATTTCTATAAATTGTTGGCATGTTCTTCTTCTCAGGCTATTCAGAAGTAATAACATTTTTCATTTCAGACATGCAATCACCTATTAATGATGAAATATTTTACCACTTTGGGAATATTTAATTAGTCATGGAAAATACTTCCTGCATTTTAAGATTTTTCAAATATCACTTTCTTATTTCTATTTTAGCATTTTATCAAATTATTGCTTTTTTCTTTTATAGTCAGGCTTAAGACAGATTAGAAACCTCCTTAAGAGATGAATTTCTTCTTCTAAAAATGCATGTCGATAGTGGACTATTTAGGCTTATAGAAGAAATCATTAAGGAAGAAAGCTTTAACACTGTCCCTATCTGCTTTCCTTGCACTTTTTCTGTGAAAAACCTTTTCTGTTTGCACAATCTTCCCTGAGTTCTGAACCCAGCATCATCAGTACCAAAGTCTTATGCAATACATATTTATTATGCTTCTGAAATAGCCCTCTTCTTGATGAGACCCTAACTATGACAAAAAAATCAGTATTCATATTTTACTCACAATTTACTCCCGTGCTTGCTTAGTTGGCATTTTAGTGCTTTGAATTTCTGTCTATCTTAAAGCACATAAAAAAATAAGGTCATTTAATCCAAGTATCCTATCATCAAAAATTATCATCTGATTATATGAAGATAAATGGCGACTCTCATGTGTGTATGCGTTTTGCTTTTACTTTGGTTCTTGCAATCCAAATATAGAATTATATATTTATCTATTATTGCCTTTATTTATTTTTTAAGCACTTGACTTTAATGATTATTCTTACCTGAGAAAGAAATTTAATTCAACCAGTGATGAATACTTGAAATTAATTGAACTCATACCAAAAGATCTAATCCATTCAGTTTCTCAGTTTGAAGGAGAATGTTTGACTCACTTTCCTTGTTCATGCTAGCCGAATATAATCAAGACTTTTGATTTGATTACCCAATCAAGATAGAGCCTGATAAGTTTTAAAATGTTTAAAGAGGATTGAAATCTCAGTCAATAACTAAATGAGGATGATAAAATGAGATTGATTGGCTTATACTAGGTACATTTATTTGTGAAAGAATTGGTGTAAAATATAGTTATTTTTAAAGCCGCCAATAGTACACTGATAATAGTGCTGTCCACATCATAGGCGCTTAAATATGTACTGGCTATCTAGAGGGGGGTAGGAAAGCAAGTGATTTTATCTTGTTCTTACCTTTTTGCAGGAAAAGTGGCTTTTAAAAAAAGGAAAATATTTATATAATAAAGCTGTTTTGGAAATCCATTCTTTTAGAAAGAGACCTTGAGATAAATATTTTTTGACTGTGGATTTTTCTATAGTTCTGAACAGGTTTTAAACCCACTATCAAAATAAAGACAATATAAAGCTATAATATTAGTGAGTCTCCATGTAACAATTTATTTTTATAGTTACCGTTTCATGCTTAAAACTTTATTCTTACATTCATTAACATTACCCTTCACTGGTATAGCTACTCACAAAATACGTATCTTTAAAATATCAAAATTTTGAACCAAAGTTTGTGATTCCCTTATTCAGCAATCTTTGTCTTATGCTGGCCGCATGACAGTTAATTCAAAATCCAGATTAAATATCCTAAAGTGGGTTCTATATATTTCCTCATATAACAGACATGGAATGGAAATGCCACTACAAATTGCCCTGCTACTTTAAGTCTGACCTTTGCAAGAGATACACTTTGCTGTTCTATGATTGTATTCACCTACCTAAAATACACATGAAGACAGAACATATCATTTACTAAACGATGAATTTTTCATTTATTAAAAACTTTTGCTAGACATTTTAAATATTAAGTATTTTGACTACACAGATTAAATGATTCTATCAGGCATTCTGCTATTTAACAACTTAAAATATTTGTAGAAAAATTAAAGCAAATTGATATAAATTTTTAAGCAATTCTATTTTTGTAGAAAAAAAATGACAACCTATAATTATAAAGTTCTTTGAATGTGTAGTATCCTAGAAAATAAAAGTTCTTGTGAAACTTAAAAATGAATGAAAACCAACTAATAGCATGCAAGATCATAGATCCTGCATTAAATTTTTATTTGTGAAATATTAAAAATTATGAGCTTTAGCTTATAAAGTTTGCCTTCTTATGTATGTCTAAAGTCTTTTGAAGGATTATTTGCATTTATATAAAACTTGAAATGGAGTTATATATGAGTGCAAAGAAATTAACTTCTGCTCAAGTATGTTTTGATACCCTCTAGTAAGTTGAATTAAATTTTTATCCCAATTGTTTTTTGTTGTTGTTGTTTCATGGACTAGCCTTATGTTAAATGAAATAATAGTTATGTTGTTACCACCCTTAAGAGTGACTCTGATATATTATCGATGACCCAGGACTGTCTTAAAGGTCTAGTTTTAAAAACCGCCTAGTTTGTAAGTATTTGAATCCAGTTCTTTTTTAAATTTTAATAATTTGACTCACAGTTTTTGCGACAGGGTCAACTTTTAAATTGTATACTTCCTCTAAGGCACACTGGGCATTTGGAGAATGGTTCTTCACTAGTGTGGAGGGCCAGGTTTACTATTGGTTGTACCATCTGTTATCAGGCTTGCAGACACATTTTTCTTCTGGAGAAACAGAGGGGAAAGTGTCGTTGCAGTGTACATGTTTCCTCTGTGTCATTTTGAAGGGAAATAAACATGTTCCAAAAGATGCTATTAAAATAAATATTTGAACAACTTTTCTGTTTCTAGGTTGCTCTTAATTCCAGACATTTAAATAGATGTGCATTTAAATGGCTTTAAGTGGTTTAGTCTATTAGCTGAAATGGAAACATCAATAATACTTAATAAAAGTTTATGTATTTTTATGTGTTTTGGATTCCATAAGACATGAACTTAGATAATTTTATCAAAAGTAGCACAGTGTTTCTCAGCAAGTGCGAGCCAGCATACAGCGAGAGCCTGCCTGTGTCTCCGGGTGCACATAGAGCTTCCCAACCCTAAACAGCTCATTGAAATACAAAAGCTACTGAAAGTGAGTTCTGCTGCAAAACACATGTACTGTGTGTGGGAACAATGAAAAGCTAGAGGACCTAGAGTTAGAGGAGGCATTGAGAGTGCTTTTCCCTGAAACGCCCTGATAGTCTTCCCTCGATCTAGAAGTTTTCTCTTTGAATCCTCCCATCTGTTCCTCCTAATACCCCAGATGACTTCATCTGCATCTCCCTCTTTTATGCTAACACCCTTCTTTTGTGACCTCCCCATATATCTGTAAGCTTCCCAGTCTCATGGCAAATTTAAAAGTTTATAAATAGGTTCTCTCCTTGAAAAAAAACACAGTTTAAGTAGAACTCAGACCAACCATGACTTACTAAGAGACTACAGGAAGCCATTCAGCATTCAATAATACCTGTTTACAACATGAGGCAAAGCTAATAATGTTATGGTTTTATTAAGAGACATCTGTCATCTCTCTTTTTCTTAAACTGGTTTAACAATCAGAGCTTTGTAATAATGTGTTTCAGCTGAAGATTTATTATAGGCTTGTAAATTATCTAAATGTTCTTTTTAGACCGCATGACGGAAGCACAGAGGAATGGAGATAACGCTGTGTTATGGGAGGGTGGGTGCTGGCTTGTGGCAGAAGTACTTTAGAGTCCTGCTCTTCAGGAAAAACTTTGCTCTGGTAATGTTTCTTTGAAAACAAATTTACCAGCCACTGCGTTGCTTGGTGTTTTCCAAAGTACAACACCCAAGGACTTGAACCCTACCCCTTTCTAGGCCAGACTAGGCCAGCTTCTACTTGCTTTGATAATAATTCATACCTTTATTGGTAGATATTTTGGATAGCAGTGGAGAACTGAAGGCAGCTCCTAAAGATTGGTTTGTTTGCATTGAAAACATTGACACTTATTCACTCTCAGCAGCAGACGGTTTTGATATCAGGCCCTATACATAAGACCAAAACCAGAAGTATTTCTAAATCTCAAAGATTTATAAGTATAGTACCTCTGGCTGAAAACTCGTTAAACATCCTCTGTATATTTTTTCTTTCTATCTTTATGTAATTCTTTCTGTAATTAAGTGTACATTAGGGTTATCGGTTACTTAACAAGCCTGAAGGTATAGCTGTACATGGAATGTGCTCTGTTTTTCTGTTTCCTGCTTGGTTTGTTTCTGGTATGACTGTGTCCACTTTTTACTTGACGAATTTTGTATAGATAATACTCTCACTAACTTGTAAATAGGATAAGTTATGAGATTTTTTTGGTATTAGAATTTGTAATAATGACATTTAGATTTTATTTGAAAAAGTTACTTGGAAACCAGTAAATAGAGCTATAGTGATATATATATATAGATAAATACTTTTTTCTGAGAATGTATAATATATAATTGTCAAAGATTTTTGGAAGTCTTTTAAAGTATACTTAATCATATTTTGAGAACATACTTTCAAATTTGTTTCCATAAGGCTGAAGAACTTTTATTTACAAAATGTATGACTAATTTATGAATCAGTGTTACTAGGACTTATCAGTTCTTAAAATAGCAACTTTGCATTCTGTATTTTGTTTCCTGGTTGTTTTATTTGGAGGGATAATAAATGTCTAAGTTATTTCCATTAACATTTTTGAAATGTTTGTATACTTTATGTGTGCCATTTTAAAGTATATGCAAGTTCTAAGCAATAATCTGCATGTTATACAAGGTTGGCATACTTTGTCATGAAATTTTTATTTAATATTTTAAGAATGATGAAATCAACACCCTATAAATCACCCTTCTCCGCCTCCCCTCCATGAAAACCTTGGGATTTTTCTTGTGCTAGAACACTACCACAGTGTGGTGCAAAGCTTTGTATTTGTGGAAGAAAACAATAAAATCACAATTATTTAGTGCAAAAGTTTGTCTACAAGGTGTATACTTTAATAGTAAGTAATTAATGATAAAATTATATTCTGCAAATCAAATGATCTAGCACCTTCATCCTGAAGGTAAATTTTTATTTCTCAGGATGCTTGCAGAGCTTACGTATTTCCTTCCTTCCCTTTATCCCCGTTGAGGTCCCAGCTTGGTAGCAAACCAGCAGGAGTTGCAAACATTTTAGTCATGCTCGTTAATGAAAGGAAAGCTAATTGATATGTTCTTTTATATTAAGTAAAACTTTTGGCACTTGTGTTTTTAATCTCCTTACCTTTCTCCCTAGGCCTCTCGTGGTTGTAGTGCTTTTTACTGAATGTCTTAGCTGGGATTCCTACCTTCTCAAATTGCCTGTGGTCTTAATCTTGCATCTTGGTCTGAGAATATCCAGTAGGTTAGGAAGCAGAGCACTAACTGAATAGAATACTGAAGAGGTTTGGCTTATGGAGAGTACCATGAGTCACGCTTCAGAACATGCCTAAAATGTTGTGTCCAGATTTGCAAAGGAACAGCTGAATTTCAAAAGGAAAATAGCAGTCACAGCTGTCAGTGGAGATACACCACAGGTGATATTACAAGTATTCAGAGCTACTCGAAGCAAGCGTAAATGGGGTCTCTGCCACACCTCAGGCTGTCTCAAACACAGTCCATGTTTTCTTCTATTCTCTAGTCTTTTTCTAAAAGTCTGCTTACAGCTTTCCCTCCCTTTTGATGGTCCTTCAGCATGCACAAAATAAGTGATTTGACAAATCTGTAGCTTCCCTATGCTAGTAACTGGTTATCTGACAGATGTTCCTGGATGCTCCCCCCAAATTGGACTCTTCATCTAAGGGTGGTGCATATCACCCTCGCTTGAGTAGCTATGCCCATTGTCAATTTTGGCAAGGTGCTGCTAGATCCTTCTGCCATTGCTAGATAGTCCCTTCCTCTTTTCATCTACCTCCAGCTAAATTCAGTTACCATATCTAGTCTTGTTATCTTACCAGATCGTGGATTGTATCACAGAAATTACCTGTGGAGAACTTTCAAAATGGACTTGTACAGAAAAGAAAAAGGCAAGAGGGATGATAGGCTGGATGATGCGCTGTATTTCTGTTGAGGATAAAGGACAGGTGGAAATTTGGAAAGAATGATACCAAAGGAAAGAGGAAAGAACTTCAGAGAACAGGAAAAATAAGAAATTGTTATGTATATATACATTGCATTTTGGGTGACAGGAACTTATCAGGGAAAAAATGAATATAGTAAAATTCCTATAGATGATGTCAAGAGTGTAAAAAGTTACAACTTTTCTGAGAGCCAGGCGTGGTAGCAAGTGCCTGTAGCCCCTGCTATTTGGGAGGCTGAAGTGGGAGGACCACTTGAGCCCAGGAGTTTCAGTTCAGCCTGAGCAGCATAGCAAGACCCTATCTCTAAGGAAAAAATGTTTTATGACTTTTATGTGTTAAAATGCAATATGTACATATTCATTATATATGCTTCTCTGTATGTGTAAGTATGTAGGTGGGTGTATATGCATATATACATACACCTGTCTGTATGCACGTGAACAAACACCTGTAGGGAACATGATTTTAGTTACAGTTTCAGAATAAGTTCTATCTGAGAAAGAGCATGTTTTACCAGTGTTTCACCTACCCTGCCAAAGGTCAGATGCCTCTATGCAGAGACGGGCATGAGGAGGCAGCATTAACAGAGCAGTAGTCCTGGTGGGCATGAGCTTGTAGGAGAGTCCAAGTCCTGATTTAATGAAGGTACCAAAAACCAAACTGCCCAACAGTTGCTACCTGGCATGATCTGTGCTGGTAGCAGGCTCGTCATGAGAGGGTGTAGAGGATGAACAGTTTCTGAAGTACACTGTGTTGTGGAGAAGGGATGTACGGATGGAAGAGGCACAAGAGGGTAGGATTTAGGTTGAATTGTAAATTAGAAAAGAGCAATTTGGAAAGAGTGAGGTGCCTAAAAGCCTACCGTAACCATGAAGAAGCATGTTAATCTGAGTCTTAGTTTTGTTATCTGTAAAATAACCTCTGACATTCCTTCCAGCTCTCCCATCCTATTAGCAAGAGCTTTAGTTTGAAAGGCAATTAAGGAAGGAACAAGTGTAGCTTTGAAGGCTTAGTAATATGTTTTAAATGACATTCAAGGAAGATTCTCAGTGTCCAATTAAGTGAATGAGAGTACAGAAGAGGTTAAGTGATGGAGAAACTGCCAAGGACCTGCAAAGTAGTTAAGCCTGATGGCTGGCCTGGGACAAGGAAGATAAATAAAAGGGCTGACCTGAGAAATACCAGAGAGAGAGAGGCAAAGAGATTTAGAAAAACAATCTAATGAATAAGGCTGTGGCATGGAGAGGGGACAGTTGCCACTGGGCTGTGATGTTGGAATGTGGGGAGCTGCAGTCATTTGCCATGAATGAGAAAAGAGAAGGCATCGTAATCAGAAGAATGGTGGAGCCTGTGATAGACTTTTAACATAATGGCAGTGTTGTGCAGTTTCTCCCAGAGAGAAAGAATCTGGAAGAAAGAAAAAGCTCTCTCCAAGTGCCACACTGTTGGGGTTTTTATTACTTTTCGGATTTCTGACCCAATGTCTTGCCTTGACCCCTTGCATCTGGATATTCTGGGTTCTTGACTGGTTGCTCACCCATGGTTTCCTCACCACCCTTTCAGGTTCCAATGAGCTGATCCCATGATTCATTGTTCCCCAGCTCAGCCCTGTCAAGTCACGGAGCTAGAGAAAGGTCTAGAGATGATAGTAAGAGGCCCAAAGAATAAGGCCTTTCTCCGAAGTCCAGTAGCTAGAGGCTAC